AGGAAAGGATAAGTATGTGTGTAAATATTAAAAGAATATTGATTTTTTAAAACAAAAGTAAGGAAAGATTTGGAAGAACATAACAATGTGGAAATAAAACTAATAATATCACACACCAAAAAACTGGAGGGTTTTAATGAGATTAAACTGAGGTAGGGTTTTTGCATTATTTGTGAAGTGTAAAAATACAAATTTAAAATGCATATATTGAGAAGCTAGGAAGGCACATTAATTTCTAGTATAAGAGCTAATAATGTCAGGAATGTATAACTAATAGAGGAGAAAAACTGAATGAATACAACATACTTAATCCAAAAAACAAGTAGAGAAGGAGGAATAAAGGAAGAAGGACCAGATGGGGTAAACAGAAAAAAAATAGCAAGTAGGTAGAATTAAACCAACTGTTTCAGTCGTTATATAAGTAAGCACACTAAGCACTCCAATCTAAAAAGAAAGATATTGTAGATATTTTTTAAAAAAACAGAAGACAATTACAGGTTCTTTATAAGAAATACTTTATGAAGTTTAACATTCTTACCTGGGAAGCAATAAGCCACAAGCTTCGGAGATGAAGCACTCTGGGTTTGAATTTTAACGTCTAATTATTAATTATTCAAACTTTAGCTACTTGCATAACTTTTCTGAGTTTTAGTTTCTTTATATAAAAGAACAGTAATATGTATCTAATAGGGTTGATGTGAGAATGAAATGAACTTAGGGAGGCACTCTTATATTTGGTTAATAGCCAAGGTGATAGAAACACATTACTTGGCTTTTAATTTCAGCTCTGTTAGTTACTAACCACGCAACCTAGACTAAGGTGGTAGAACTACCTATGCCTTGGTTTTCCCTTCTGTATAATGGGCACCTCTCAGAATTATGAAAATAAAATGAGGTTCTCTGTTAAAACACTTAGTACATTTCCTGGAACATAATGAGTACTCTCTACATGGCAGACAGGTTAACATAAGCCAGGGCCGGGCATGGTGGCTCATGCTTGTAATCCCAGCGCTTTTGGAAGCTGAAGTGGGCAGATCACCTGAGGTCAGAAGTTTGAGACCAGCGTGGCCAACATGGTAAAATCCTGTCTCTACTAAAAATGCAAAAATTAGCTGGGCGTGGTGGTGGGCACCTGTAATCCTAGCTACTCAGGAGGCTGAGGCAGGAGAATTGCTTGAACCTGAGAGGCAGAGGTTGCAGTGAGCTGAGGTCGCACCATTGTACTCTGGCCTGAGTGACAAGAGTGATACTCCATCTCAAAAAAAAAAAAAAAAAAGGCAGATGATGTCAATCATTTGTTCAAAAGTTCCTCATTCCTTCCCATTATACTTACAGGAAAGGCCAAAAATTACACCTCCCTACAAGGTCCTTCAAGCTCTATTGCCTCTTTAAACTCATGTCCTAGTTACCTCTCTGGACTTATGTAACTAGTCACCTCCTGGCTTGCTCCACCTACTTTAGACATACTGGCCTCCTTGCACTTCCTTCAGATTCATGGCAAGTCAGTCATGCTGTAGTCTCAGGGTCATTGCCCTTGAAGAATTCATTAAGGTTCTTCCCACTGTGACCACCCACACCTACCCCTCAGATCAACATAGCTTGCTGCTTTCCCACTGTTGGGGCTTGCTCAAATGTATTATTCAGTGAGGGCATGCAAGACTACCCTAAGTAAAATTGTATCTCACTGCCCCACCAACTCCACTTCCCTATCTTCCTCGGTTTATTTTTCTTCTTAGGAGAAATCACCATTTAACATTCTTTTCCATGATAATTATGTATGAGTTTACTGTATGCCTTCCTCCATCACAGTGTAAAGCCATAAGGGCAGGGATTTTTGTCTCTGATCACTGTTATAACCCCTAGCACTTTGACAACTAGCTGGTAGACAGTAGGTGCTCACAAAATATTTATTAAATGAGATCATTTTAAAGTTAGTCACGATTAGTATTTACTTCTTTGATCATTTCTTTCTTTTCTTCCTTCTTTAGTAACCATTGGAGATATTGAGCCATAACTGAACTCAAAACATAGCTCAGCCTAGTCATCACTTCGGCAAGGACTTCTCCCCTGGATTCACTGGCAATGCCAATTCCTCCTGTTTTACCCACTCACAGCATTGATCTCTGTTTTGTGATTCTCTGGTTTCATCTTTCTTTTCCACTAGACCCGGTGTCAGTAGAGACCTCATTTACTTTTGCTTGCCCCTGCCTCTGCCTCTGTATTCCCAAACTTTGTACAGGGTGCTTGGCCCTTAAAACGAATGCAACAATGAATGAATGATCAAAATGGGCTCTCATTCTTTTTTCACCTATAATAAAACCAACTTTGAACATTGTTTGTCCCCTTTGGCTGTGCTATGTTTAGCATTTCTTTGTGGATGATAAGCATTCCTTATTGACACTGCACTGATGACTTAAGCTAAGCTGTGTGCTAGTAGGTATTCTCAAGTGTTTCTCTTTGGTTTGCATTCAGAGTAAAAGTTAGAAGAGCAGTAGGTTGCTAGTTGGCAAAAATCCATTTACTACTGCTCATGTCTGTGAATGTATCCAGTTAATATTATGCATTAAAATGTCACAATAAGGATGACCCTGGAGATCAGACTAGTAAGAAAAAGAACAAAGTGAAGACAGAAGCATTCTTCTTTATAGGAATAGGAAGATTATGTCAATTGTAGCATAGCCAAGAGAAAGGAATGGTTATTTATTGGAAGGCTGTCATACCAGACTCCATTCAAAGTACTCTGCATTTGTGATCCCATCTGAACTAAACCACAAATGTGGTTGAGGACAGACGACATTGGCAAATGTGGAAATGTGTGCATGTGCTTTGATGTGGGCATGTTTGTGGGTGTTTGAAAGTAACGGGCTCTATCCCTGTCTCTGCTTTATATTAGCTATGCAAGCTGGGGCAGGTCAACCAGCGCTCCTGAGCTTCTGTTTCTACATACCAGCTTTGTGATCAAATAAAGTAATGGACATGAACATTCTTTGAAAGTAGTGAGAACAAGTGCGTTTGTGGGTGCATGCCTATGTATGTGCGATGTTACAAGGGTCAAAGCAACAACCTCTTCCTTTGGATATCATAATAATTTTGCATGTCCCCAGGTGAACAGTTAGACTTGGGGTAAAGTCATATTGTATCATCTTATTACCCATTTGCTTACTGCAACTCAATCCAGAAAATATATTAAACACCTGTAATGTTCCAGACTCCATAAGGACATGAAGAATAAAATGAACTAAATATGATCCTGCCTCGTAGAGTTCACACTTGAGAGGTGGAAACATATGGGCATAAAAGTAACTATAACTCACAGCAGAGTGTGCAGAGTGCTACTGGTGGCATTTTATAAACAAGACACTAGGAAATCACACTCAATCATTTATTCAATCAATACTTGTCATACCCGAGTGAGTTTAAACAGAACCGCCACGATCTGAGTTTGTGGAGAGTCCACTTTAATGGCCGGCGTCCGAGAGTCAGCTAGAGCTCAAGCCTCTCGGCCCAGAACCAAGGGTAGTCAATCTTTATATCACTTTAGGGTCGGGGGCGGTGAGCAGATTATTACAGAAGCAGAAGGAGCAGGTTAGGGGAAGGGGGATTGCCTAACAACAAAATTTTATTTAAAGTTGTTTTTCACTCAGGATGTGGAATAGGTACAGGATGTATGGGCCAGAGGGCCCTATTTCTCAGAAAATTGGTTACAAAGATGCCAGGTGTCTCAGACGACAAAGTTCTTGGAACAGAATGCCCTACATAGCTCAGGGTGGGTAAAATGGAGTCAGCAGGATTGTTTAAAGTGTATTCATCACAGCCAAGCCAATACCAACTATGGGCCAGGCACTATTCTAGAACCCAGAGAGATCACAGTGTACAAGAAAGGCATGGAGCCTGTTTCCATGGGGCTTACATTCCAGTGTGTGGAGACGGAGAACTCCCTGATAACGCCATGGATAAAGAAAATAATTTCAATTAATTACTGTGTTGATGTAGAATAGGGTCATGTGATCATGAGTTCAGCTCAGGGGTAAGACAGAAGGTGGTCAGCTCTGATGTCTCAGCTGAGACTGGCATGGTAAGAATGAAAGACTTGGGGAGAATTTATGAAAGAGATCTTCCACACTGAGTGAATGGCAAGTGCTAGGATTAGGAGACAGAAATGAGCTTCTGGGACTTTGGATCTGAAAGAAGGGGAGATGTGAAAGTTCGCTGTGACAAGTGAGAAAGTGCTATGAGCAGCGATGAGCCAGGGTGGATGGGGCAGATGGCACATTACATTTTGGCCATGGTCAAGAATTTGGGGTCCAATCAAGGTGCCATGGAAGCCACTGAAGTTTCGAAAAAGAGAAGAGATAGGATTTGATTTCCATTTTAAAAGAGCAATCTGGTTGCTGTGTGGCAAGTGAGGACTGCGGTGGGGAGAAAGTGAATCCAGGAAAACCAGACAAGATGCTATTTTCGTTATCCAGGTGAATGATGATGAAGAGTGACCCCTAACTAAGCTAGGAGCGGTCTAGGTGGTGAGAAAGAGACAGATGCAGGAGGTATTTTGGAGGTAAGCCAACAGAGCTGCAAGAGGAGTAAGGTTGCTTCTAAATAAAGAATGCTTCCGTTTCTATTGTTAGTTCAAAAGCCTTTTATGTCAAACAATTATAGGAGCTAACAAATTGACTCTATAAATATATCCAATGTACATTTAAGCTAATATTAAATTTCTTTGGGCCTTCAGAGTTTGTATTACATAAATAGCACGAAATAAAAATCCTTAATAAAGAAAGTTTGTAAAATACAGAAAAGCAAAATTGTTTAAATAAAAATACATACTATAAAATATGCTACATACATATCTAAGGCGAGAATTCCTCTTTTTTCCCTTAGAATTGAGATTTGATCTCCTATTTGGGGGCGAGGGGGCACGCTGTTGTGCTGTACCAGGTTTTGCCTCTTTCTGCGGCATCTTTCAAAAACCGAAAACAATGTAACAACGTTATCACAAATGCTAGGTGTGGACATTTATTTCATCATATATGGGAGGTGACTTCCACCACTGGGGCAATCGGACCTGGGAATGCCGAGAAGTCAAGAAGTCGGGAGCTGATGAAGCGCGTGTCCATCTTACCAAGACCTTGAGTATAATGCAGAGTCCCTGCTGCAAATCCCTTCCCATCCGTGCTTTGAGACGGAAGGAGGGAAATTGCAGCTATTTACAGCAACCACCATCTGAGCAGGGACTGAGTCACGCAGTACCTCGGGGAAGCGAGGTTGGAAACCCTTGTCAACATGCAGTCAAGTCTAGAGTTAGAGCTGGCCGGTGTGCGCCCTGCTTCTGCGGGAGGGTCCCCGGGCCCTTTCGAATTCGTTTTCCGTTTGTCTGCCGTTTGTTTGTTGTTGATTTAGCCCTCCCTCTAAAGGCTAAGGATTCCACCGCGGTACGGCATGGGCGGGGGCGCGTCCTGAGCGGGCGCCCCCGGGGAGCGCGGCTGGGAGCTGCAGGCCGCAGCTCGCCCGCGTGGATCCTCCGCGTGCCCGCCCCGCGCGGACCCGGGGCTGCAGGAGTCCCCGGCCCCCGCGAGGCTGCAGTGCGGCGCGCACCGGCTCCCGGCGCCGTCCTCCTCCCCGCCGCGCGCGGTCATGGATCTCTGCGTCCTAAAGGGGAAAGATAATGCCGGGTTAGCGTATAAATAGACGGTTGCATGCTCTCCCTGCGAAGCATCGATTGAGGCCGCTGACTATCGATCTAATTTTAACTTACATGTTCGCGCGCGCCCTCCCCGCCCCCCTGCCGCGGCGGGGCGGAGCGCGGGCCACGCTGTCTCCCGCGGCCGCCAGAGGGCGGCCCACCCGCCGTCCCGCCACCCTGCCCGTCTGGCCCCTCTGTTTACGCGGACGTACAATGCTGGCCTTTATTGGGCTTGAAAAATAGGAGTTTGATTTTCCTGCACCGGGATGACCTCGACACTCATGAAAGTCGGAGGAAAGCGGGGAATCGGATGACAGGCAGCCGGGAAAATAAAGCTTGCATTTCACCTCCTCCCACGCCACCACCTACACAGCACTCGGGATGTGCTTCTCATTTTAAAACCACCTTGCTGAAGCCGGGAAGTGGGGGAGGGCGGTAGGAGTGCAATGTTAAATTCTTCTGGGTACTCTGGCACTCGGCGTGCAGCGCCTTCTGTTTAGAAGGTAAATGTCACCTGCTCTCTCTTGTAAGGGCGCTCTCCTGAACTGACACCAAATGCCAGTGCACCCACGTTATCGAGGAGTGATTTGACTAACATATTATTAATTGTTTCTAGGCATAATCCATCTTGCCGAAGTTTAAGTAATGGCCATCAGCAATTTTATACTACTGGCTTGTGCATTTCAGGTTGGGAATTAAAGTCTATCAAAGTTTTGCTTGCCACCTTTTGGGACCACAGCACATCAGGATAGGGGGAATAGGATAAAGTAAATGAGAGGGAAAGGGAGACAGAAAACAAAGAAAGATGCCTCCCCGGAAATTCCCCAGCCCTAGAACTCAGCATGTGAACAAACTTTCCTCTGGGATTGAGTGAAACGTATTAATAGGAGCCCGTGTTTCTGAAGCACTTGCTATGTGCCAAGCATTGTACTAGCCATTTCATATTTGTTACTTCATTAAATCCTCAACACAACCTATTGATTAGATCCTATTATTATCCACATTTTAGAGTTGAAAAAAAACTGAGGTAAGTTAGTTGCATAAAGTTGACTAGCTAGAAAGAGACAGAGCCAAGATTCAAACCTCAGTGGAGGCTGACCCAGAACCTTACTCCACATCACCATGTCAAGTGTCGACAACATGCCCACCCTTGGTGAAGTCTTAATCTCTCTGCATCTCTAAGCAAAGGAGGGTGCATGTGAAGAGAGATGGCCACTTTCAAATAAGGCCTACTTAGGCCAAAATGCAAAAGCTCGTCACAGGGCGAGCTCTTGCAAAAGTGAAAAACTTACGAAGAAATGATCATCTGCAGTGTTGCTCCTGATAATAGCTTATAGGATGGAAATAAAGTAACCAGAAGAAGGAAATTTTTATTAAGGGGCCCTCACCTGTCTATTCATTCAACAAACATTTGCGTACAGTGGACTGGCCATTGTGGTGGGTGCAGAAATATCATAACGAAGAAGACAAAAGTGCTCTATCCCCTCTTGGAGCCTCGTGAGAGAAAGGGGTTATAACTAAGTGAACAATCAAACATATAATTACAATTTGAGATGATTACAAAGGGGAGGAGGGAGTCAAGAAGGCCTGTCTGAGGAAATGCCATTTACATGGAGAGATACAGTGTGAGTAAGGGTTAGCTGGGTCCAGGATGGGCCTGAGCATAATATGGAGAGATATCGGGAAGTCTTGAGGAGGAAATGGTGTTGGGGAATGAGTAGGAGAGGATGCTGGAGAGCGTACATGGGATTTGATAAACCGGAGTAAAGATTTGTGACGTCATCATAAGCACAATGGGAATACCCCCTTAAGAGATTCAAGAATAAGAATAAAGTGATCCAATTTGTGTTTTAGAAAGTTGCTTTGTTTGCGGTGCGGAGAATGGATAGGAGGTGGGACGAGGGAGTGAGCATCGAGAGACTTCAGGAAGTTTGCACACTACTAGCTCAGTGAGAGTTGTTGGGGGTTTGGACAAGGCCTGCCGTAGTGGAAATTGAGAGAAGTGGAGAAGCTGTTTGCACTTTGGTGATGGATTGGACAAGATGGCTGATGGGTAGAAAGAGGTCAAGGATCCCTCCCAGTTTCTGGCTGGAGGCACTGGATTGAATGAGGCATCATTTACTAATCCAGATGACATGAAAAGAGGAGCAAGTTGGGGGACCCTTGGTTTGGGCCTTTCCTATTTGAAGAATGAAGGCTGCTGACTATTCAGAAAGAAAAGAGACTTTAAGGCCGGGTGCAGTGGCTCACACCTGTAATCCCAGCACTTTGGGAGGCCAAGACGGGTGGATCACGAGGTCAGGAGTTCAAGACCAGCCTGACCAACATGGTGAAACCTCGTCTCTGCTAAAAATACAAAAATTAGCTGGGCGTGGTGATACACACCTGTAGTCCCAGCTACTCAGGAGGCTGAGGTAGGAGACTTTCCTGAACCTGGGAGGCAGAGGTTGCAGGGAGCCAAGGTCATGCCACTGCACTCCAGCCTGGGCAATAGAGTGAGAGTTCATCTCAAAAAAAAAAAAAAAGAAAGAAAGAAAGAAAAGAGACTTCAAAAGTAAGCTTGAGTGAGTTACTGATACAGACAAGAGATGGGGAAATAGTGGGTAGAAGAGGGCGGTTCCCCAGCAAAGGCCCCACCCTCAAGCCTGGATACCCGCAGCCCTAAATGAGGACAGGCATTCTTGGTTTTGCTCCCAAAAAGTTGCCTTTTGGCCACCACATCCCCTATCCTGTACCCACATAAACCCCAAACTCCAGGCTCCAGAGGCAGACTAGGAGATGAGGAGAGAAGCAAACGGTGGAACATCACCGCAGAGGAAGACAGAAGAGACGGAGCATGTGAACACAGGAGGTTGGCTGGGGACAGTCGGAGAAGAGTTGGCCACTGGATGGCCAAACTCCAGGAAAAGATCATCTTCCCACTCTCTCCCCCCTTACAGCTCCCCATGTATCCTGCTGAGAGCCACCTCTACCACGCAATAAAACCCCTGCATTCATCTTTCAAGTCCATGTGTGACCCAATTCTTTTGGGGTGCTGGGTACCAAGGGGCCAGTGAGCTGGTTAACACTTAAGCCCTCTGTGGATGGCAGAGCTAATAAAAAGAGCACTGTAACACTGGGGTCATAGGAACCTGCCCCTAGATGCTGCTGTGGGGCCAGAGCCCCAATACCTGCACCTGCCTGTCTGCATGCTCCCCTCCTGTAAGGGGTTTGAGCTCATGGCAGTCGAACAGAGAGCTGCACCCTTTGTCACATACCCTGCAAGTGGGGGCCAGAGCACTCTCCCATCTCATTATTATTGAAGTGACTTTTTTGTCATCATTGTTATAGTTCTTCCACTGTCAAAAAGGTAAGTTTTAGTATTGCTGTGTGTGAACTGGAAGAAGAAAACAATGAAGCTGTGGTATATGTACTTGGTTTTTGATATGGTTTGGATCTGTGTCCTCACCCAAATCTCATGTTCAATTGTAATCCCCAGTATTGGAGATGGGGCCTGGTAGAGGTGATGGGATCATGGGGACAGAGTTCTCATGAATGGTTTAGCACCAGCCCTCCACGCTGTTCTCTTGGTCCTGAGTGAGTGAGTTATTGTGGGATCTGGTTGTTTAAACATGTGTAGCACTGGGCCGGGCACAGTGGCTAATGCCTGTAATCCCAGCACTTTGGGAGGCTGAGGCGGGTAGATCACGAGATTTAAGAGATGAAAACCATCCCGGCCAACATGGTGAAACCCCATCTCTACTCTCTACTAAAAATACAAAAATTGGCTGAACGTGGTGGCATGTGCCTGTAGTCCCAGTACTTGGGAGGCTGAGACAGGAGACTCGCTTGAATCTGGGAGACAGAAGTTGCCGTGAGCCCAGATCGTGCCACTGTGCTCCAGCCTGGCGACAGAACAAGACTGTCTTAAAAAAAAAAAAAAAAAAAATAGTAGCACCTCCTCCCGTCACATGGTCCTGCTCCTACCATGTAAGATGCTTACTTTCGCTTTGCTCTCTACCATGAGTAAAAGCTTCCTGATGCCTCCTTAAAAGCAGATGCAGCACTATGCTTCCTACACAGCCTGTGGCACTGTGAGCCAATTAAACCTCCTTTCCTTATAAATTACCCCGTTTCAGGTATTTCTCTATAGTAGTGCAAGAAAGGACTAATATACTTTTGTTACAAAACCCGGAGTCTGTGGCCGCCAAACTAAAAACCAACAAGCACCAACTCTTTATCTGAACGTCACTTGCAGGACCAGTAAGCAGCACTGGGGTTTATAGTCTCACATATGAGGAGAATCGCAGAGAGTTAGAACTGGAAAGGATCTCATTACACTCATTAGGAAACCAAAGACCCAGAGATGAAGTGATTTGTCCAAGGTCACACAGCAAGTTTGTAAGTGAACAAAGGTGGGGGTCACTGAGCAGGTCTCTGGTTCTTCCTTATGCCTCCCTGCCTCTCAAGGGTTAAGACTTCCTCTGTTAGACACACATGCCTTATTCATAAGGAGAGGATGCTGGGCTATTACTAAACCTGGGAATACACTTCCATTCAAACTCTGAGAAATGCAAGTGTCTAGACAATACATTCTCCCCACCATTCTGCAATTCTCCAGGACAAGAACCTCAGCTTCCCTTAGCATAGCTGGCATTTGGCTAAGCCTGAAGTCATCCAGATTCTAGCAAGCGATCATTCTTTCTCCAGGCAGTGGGTGTGGACAGATCATTTTCTTCCTCAGGTTCAGCAGGATGTGCACTTGCCTGTGGAAGCTTGCCAATGATAAAGGAAGAGTTGATCACCTGCTGTGCATCAGACCGTTCACCTACTGAGATGTCCTAAGTTTCATAAAGTCTGCCTGGTCCTTTCTATCTTCCTCATTCCTTTTCTTGCCTTCCATTCTTTGAAAAGTTTAGAATTGGAGTGGAACTAGAAATCATTATCCTGTACTAAAGAAGCATCTCTGCTTTAGAGTCATGGAAATGTCGTTTCTTCTTCCTGATACGTGTAGAAGCATGAGATGGAATCAGTTGTCCCATGACTTTGACTTATTAAGAGTGGAAACATGATTAAATTCTGCCACTACCAAGGTAAATCAAGAAAAATGAAAATGGTTTAAGTCTATTTATCCATCACACCATTTTGAAATAAGGTTTTCTACAACTATGATTTGTGGAGGTTATGGATCTTAGATGTTAGGTATATTTATGTCCTATATCCTCTAATTCATTAATTTATTTTTGTCTATTCAAGTAGTAAATACTACTGTTCATTCATTCATGATTCTTCTGAAATATTTCATTTCCAGAATTATCAACCTCTTTCTTCTGTTACAAGGACAATAATATTTTAACGACAGTAGTTTTTGAGAGTAGGATACATTCTATGCTATGATTTACAGAAAAGCATCTGATGGCATTTCTCAGCAGAGATTGGCATTTATACAACAGAAAACGGTTATAACAGCTTTTTAAATAAACAACTATGTGAAAACAATGGCACAGGGAGATAGGAGTCATTCTGCAGTGTAAAATTCAATCGCTGGGGACTGTCAATAATTCAATCAAATTACTTAAATGCAAAAAGTTGCCTTATTATTCAGTCAGAGTTCTTTCCAAAAACTCTTCCTACATCGTCCATGGGAGGTTTAATATTTTTGTTTATATTTTTCTGCATTTTTAAGGGTTTCAATAATGCAAATAAGTTGCCTTTGTCAAGAAAAAAAAAAGACAAAAACATTTTTTTAAATGTATTCCACATTAGAAAGACCACCTCAAAATTTAGAGGATTATTGAGTAAAGGTAGACGCTCCTTTGATATCAATCCCCATCAAAAGTCACTTGGGGCAGGAGCCTGCAAAAGCAGGGAGGGGCTGCCACATACACCGAGCTCATCCAGCCTGCAACCCGCAGACCGCATGCGGCCCGGGATGTCTCTGAACGTGGCCCAACGCAAACTCGTAAACTTTGTTAAAACATTATGAGATTTTTTTTGCGATGTTTTTAAAGCTCAACAGCTATCGTTAGTGTTAGCGTATTTTATGTGTGGCCCAAGACAATTCTTTTTCTTCCAATGTAGCTCAAGGAAGCCAAAAGATTTACCACCCCTGAAAACCACAGGAAGAGTTTAAAAGTTGGAAATACTATTATTGATAAGGCTGCGCTTAAATAGAAAAAAAAAAGTTTATTATTTGATACTGGAGAATAACAGTGATTTACCATTTATATACCAAGATATACCCAAATGACATTGCTTTGATTTACTTCTCTAAAAGGGGCTAGGTTGGCACTGGCCTGGAACATAGGCATTAAATTGGTTGGAAGATGTCTATCTGGGATTAGGTGTCCAGCTTCTAAACTATAAAATACAATGAGTTAGCTATCTGAATTAGGTTTATAGTCCCTAACCTTGACCTCATTAGCAGAGAGTGGCCCTAACTGCTCACTACCATGCAAGAACATTCTTAATATAAGATGCAAAGATTAATGAAGAAAAAGGACAATTGAACACTGTAAGAGACCTTTCGCAACCAGTCAGTGGGCAAGGGATGGCAATTTCTTTCTGGAAATTGTAAGCAGATGAATCATTGAGAACAATTCTCTAAATAAGCAAACAAAAGTTTTTTCTCTGCTTTTCATGCTGCTTATCTGGCCTTGACAAGCTGTTCATTGATGAGAAAACATTTCTTTAACCATAAAGATTTTAGGAGGTTCCATTCTTTTCATGGCCATCTTGATAGCCTTTGACATGCTAAGACATAAACATGTCAACATGGTGCTTCCATCATCTCTCCCTGCTGGGCACGCATAGCTATTTTTTTTGGTAGGGAACTGAATTTAGCTTCCTGACGCTAATTGAGGAAAAACAACTAAAACAAAAATGTCTAGTTGTTTTTTCAGTTGCGTTGAGGCAGAAACACCTTTTCCTACTCTTCAGTATTTTTCATTGTTTCCTCCCCTTTCATTCCTTCCATTTGGAGTTGTAGCTCCCCATGCTTTTCCTGCAGAGGCCCACACGTATGCATGTACTACCCCCTCCCTGGGTACAGAGGCAGGATGGGCTGTGGGCTGGTAACTCCTCCACGAATTTGTGAAGGCTTCACCTGCTTCTCTCCTACTCTGAGAGCACAAGGGAATGTGTGGGAGTGAGGTGACCTTAGGCAAGGATAGTCTCACATCTACTCCAATTTACATGAAAAGTGCTCCATTTGCAAACTTCAGAACTTAATTACTTATAACAAATTACTTGTGGCAAACTCTACAACTGACTGGGGCAGTAGGTGACAGCGCTGTACTTGGGAATTAGAACTGTAATATAGAACCATTTTGATGACGGAGTGTGGGACAGAGTCTACAGAACTTTGCCACAGTGGGCCCCAAGACCAACCAAGCACAGGATTTCATATTCAGAGCAGAAGTGTCTTTGTCAGTGGTCAGTGTTTAATCTGTATAAGAGAAAGATCTTAATTCTTTAAGATCTGATGCAAATTAAAAGAATCACCATGTACAGAAATACTGAAACAATCCAGATAAGAATGATATATATTAATGCTGAAAAGCTACGTTGATCAAGGCACTTACCTTTTTGGTAACTCAGTTTCCTCTTCTTTCAAATGACAAGGAGAATAGGACTTACCTCATAGGACTGGTCATACCTGTAAAGTACTGTGAATGTTGCTTGCCATACAGGAAGCTCTCCGTAAAGGTTAACTCCACTATGATTACTCTCACGACTCTGACACGGCCATCTCTGTGGCTAAATTGGGGATAAAAAACACTGTTAGGCCAGGCGCGGTGGCTCAAGCCTGTAATCCCAGCACTTTGGGAGGCCGAGGCGGGTGAATCACGAGGTCAAGAGATCGAGACCATCCTGGTCAACAGGGTGAAACCCCGTCTCTACTAAAAATACAAAAATTAGCTGGGCATGGTGGTGCGTACCTGTAATCCCAGCTACTCAGGAGGCTGAGGCAGGAGAATCGCTTGAACCCAGGTGACGGAGGTTGCGGTGAGCCGAGATCGCGCCATTGCACTCCAGCCTGGGTAACAAGAGTGAAACTCCAACTCAAAACAAACAAGCAAACAAAAAAAAACACTGTTGGTGTTGCTAGTTTTACTAGTTCTAAATCCATCCTAACTATAACATAATAATGAAAGAAAGATGGATTTACGAGCACCCTTTAGCCGCTTCAATTTATTGTTGAGTCAGAATGAGAAATAGATAAATAGAAAATTAGCCTTTAAAAATTATTTCTCGTGGAAGTGTAAATTGACACAAACCTTCTAATGTGTGTTAAGAGCCTTAAAATACAAATACCCTATGCACCAGCAATCCCTTAACTGTGAATTTATCTTATAGGCACAATCAGAGATGTGTGAAAAATATATGTGTAAGATTCTTCATCAAACTTGTTTATAATACTGAAAAATTGGAACAGCCTTAATGTTTAACAATAAGCTACCATTTAAGTAAAACACGTACATTCATGTGGTAGAATGCTAAACAGACATTAAAAACCATGTTGTAGAAGACTATATATTGACATGGACAAATGTTCACAATATATAACCCAGTGAAAATAGCAGGCTGCAAAACAGTGTATCATAACAATCCTATTTGAATGTAAGTATAACAGTTGGACTGAAGTAGATCCATGCAAATTCTTTTAAATGAAGCTTGCTATATTCTCAAAACTTCTTTAACCTTAAAAGGCTACCCAGAGCATATGTCTTATTTTTTGTGCCCTATTTTTGTTTAAATCTTAGTCTAGTCCACTGATTTTTGTGATCAAATCTGGTTATTAAAGTCTTAGCTTTCTCTGTTGACCATTCTGTCAAAATTCAATATCATTAGCTGTCCTTACTCACAGGTACATGCTTTCTCTCCCTGAACTAACACTGTCTATCCCAGCTTTGCTGACTCCAACCCCAGCGGGGAGGAGAGAGCAATCCTCTTTTTGTGGCTGGGAGCAGCAGCAGCAGGAGGAGGAGGTGCCCGCACCCTCATCTGGTGGCACTTTGTTCATGGCATCTGCCATCTTGCTGTAGCTGTGTTCGTGGTTTCCTGGGACCATGTTCAGCTTCATGCCAGCTCCTTCACAGGACTCCTTTACCCTAGAGGGGCAGCTGTGTGTCTCTTCGGCCCCCACTCAGGTTGCTGTACACCTGTGACCTCTCCACCAAGCTCTATGCTTCCGGTAGACATCCGGGTCCTCTTCTGTGCTTTCTGAGAGCCGCAGAGAACAGGAGAAGGTATGTCCACTTCCTCCTCCCTCCTTCCTCTTCCAAGCACTCTAAAGGATCTCTTCAAGCCCCAGTGGCATACATGATGCCATCAAGCCTTCTGTCTTCTGAAATTGTGTGAGGGGCAGGAACCTTCACTGTTATAGTGAACCCCAAGTTTCTCTTCAAAGAATCAGTATGTCAGTGTGTTCAGCTGTCTTATTCTTCAATTGTCTATTTTAAAGTTTAACTTCCTTCTAATTCCAGTAAATAACCTTCTCTACTGGTTCTAATCAGTACTTCACATCTGTTTCCCTGGCCCCCCCGCTTCATCCTGATTCATCCTGGTCACCTTTTCCAGTCACCTGCTCCAGTTACCTTCTTTGACTTAGGTCACCCCTGGCTACCTGTTCTGACCTGCCTGTAACCATCCTTCCTGCCAAAACACCCACCCTGTCACTTCAGCTCGGACCCCTGCTCTCTTTAAAATAGCCAGTCGGGATTAGTCTACCTTGTGCAGTCTAACCCTAGCCAATAGGGGTACAACACAGCAGTAGG